TTATCGATGGCGAGTCCTTTATAGTCACGCTTGTGAACCTGCACTCAAACCTTCCTGATTCGTTGTGAACAAACCTCGGCTGCGAGGTGTCAAGTGACCCGCCAACTTGAGGACCTGGAACCCATCCTAACAGAGCCATTAACTGACATCCATTGCAGATTCCAAGACTGAAAGTGTCTGGTCTTTTGTAGAACTCCTGAAATTGACTCAACACAGGCTCATTGAACCTTATTGAAGCAGCCCATCCTTTGGCTGAGTCGAGAACATCCGCATAACTGAACCCTCCCACAAACACAATACCGCGGAACTGGTCAAGGGTGATATCTCCGGCTAGAAGATCAGACACTGTCACGTCCCAAGGTTCAAAACCGGCAGCATAAAATGCAGCTGACATTTCTCTGTCTCCATTGCTGCCTTCCTCTCGGATCACTGCTACTTTTGGCTTAACATCTGAGAGCATATACAATAAACAAACATTTAATTAGGAAATATACGCTATATAAATGATTAAAGAAAAGAACACCTCATACAGAGCGATCATACCTTGAGACATATATTTATTGTTGGTCGAGGAAGGAGTAAATGAGAGTTTCCAATTAGGCTCATGCCTAAACTTCAAACCTTCTTTCTCCATCTCTACACAAGATGCCAATCTTTGCAGCTTTTCCAGCTGGAAACTGGTGTCTTCCCACATGTCTCTGAGGAATGAAGTTTTCTCACTCAAATGAGTAATCCCATCCACTTTTACCTCTATCATAGGCGAATCAGTGACATTTCCAATGATCTCAGCAGTAACATTGAAATCACGGAGTTTTTCCATCACAGCGTCTAGGTTTGTCTTACTAACCTCCATTATGAGACCAAGTTCTTCAGAAAACAAAGTCTCAAAAAGGCTAATCCCATTCGAAGCCAAGTCGAGATTTATACCTTTGTTTCCAGCAAAAGCCATTTCCAAAGCTGTTACTACTAGTCCACCATCACTGATGTCGTGTCCAGCAGATACCAAGTTTTCTGCAATGAGAGCTTGAATGCCCTCAAAAACGTTTTTCAGATATGGAACATCATCGAGATCAGGACAGTCGTTTCCAATCTGACCGAAAACCTGAGCCAGTGCAGATCCACCTAATCTCCGATTTCCCTTTGCTAAATCAACATGCAAGAGAATACCATCATCACCTCCTAGCTTTAGATCCGGAGTCACTGTCTTTGTTATGTCTGGACAGGTAACATAGGCACTAATCACAAGATTTCCTGGAGCTTTAACAACCTCACCGTCGGCATGAGCTGCCATTGAAAGACTGTCTTTTCCACCATCAATTGCAATGCCAAGTTCGATCATTGCTTCAGATAGAGCAATCGCAGTATCATACATCGCTGATCCTTCTCCTTCAAGCTTGGCAGCATACATCCAGTTACCACTGGCTTTAACATCAGAAAGTGCAGTGACCTTTGCCCAAACCAGATTTGTCAAAGCCTCTCCAACAGCTAATCTAGCCATGGCTTTTGGATCAAGCAAGCCTTTGATCGGTTGCTCGCCAATGGCACATGCACCACCTGTTAGATCTGTGAATGTCTGAGCAATAACTGCAACATCAGCAAGCGTGATCTGCAATGGTCCAACTGTTTGCTGCTGGGCAACAAGACCTGTCACACATCTATCAACTTTGGTTGTCAAGAACCGCTTCGAAGAAACTGATGGTAATCGCAACACCCTTTTCAAAGAATCCATCAATGTAATCCCAGGAGCAATATCAAGTGGCTCCCGTGCATAAGCAATGCGGTTAAACTCAAACGTCTTCTTAGGCATATCACCAAGAACCTTCTCGAGTTCAAGATCCACAGCAGGTGGAGGTGGAGGTAGCCCTTCTTTATTGCACTTCGCTGCAGCTGTGCTGTCAATTAAAGTACAGCGACCTCCCCCATTAATTGTTCCAATCATAGCCATCGAAAGCCTTTCCCTCTTACAGATCGATTGCAAAATCTCCCGACTCTCAGCTTTCACCAAAATCGCATCTTGCTCTTGATATTCTGCTCCCCAAATCTCCAACACCGACATAGTATGATCACCCACAACAACCGCTCTTATGTCAATCTCTGCACCTTGTGGATAAATAATCTCTTTGACAACATTGCAGTTTCCACCAGCACCTTGATCATGAATGCTGATAATGGGATTCTTCTCACCCATCTCAATACAAGCACGGACAACACGGTACAACTTCTGAGACATCTCAGCATCTCCACGTTGGACAGCATTGAAATCAAGCTCTGCATCATTCTGACCACTAACCATACTCGAAGCTGCTCCTCCTCCCATGCCAATGCGGTAAGCAGGTCCACCAATCTTAACAACAAGCATCCCAACCTCTGGCTCCCCTTTAGTTATATGAGTATGATCAATCTGTCCAATCCCTGCACTGAACATAATCGGCTTCAACCATTCTCGTCTATCCCCACTTGGAAGTCTCATTCCAAAAGTCCTGGTATATCCCTGAATCATGGGCTCTCCGAATTTGTTCCCATAGTCAGATGCACCATTACTAGCGTCGATAAGTATCTGTAGAGGTGAGGCTAAGTTCGATGGGTATTGGAAAGACGAGTCTTCCCATGGAGCATAAGATCCCTCCATGTTAAGGTTACCAACACAGTAACCAGAAGTGGATGCAACCACAAAAGAACCTCTTCCTGTTGCATGTGTATCCCTGATTCGACCTCCAGCACCTGTCTCAGCACCAGGATAAGGAGCCACAGCACAAGGGAAATTATGGGTCTCAGCAGTAAACAATATGTCGAGATCACGTGCACTGACATCAAGTAGGCACACAGAACCAGGGAGTAGAGGCCGTAGCTGGTTCACCAGAAAGCCTCTAATAGCACTAGAGTTATCCTTAAACCCAATGACAGAATTATTTCGATTTGCCTGCAAAGTTCAACACAGAAGATAAGAGTGAATTATATGAACAAAACCTTCAAATTGTAGGAAAGGAGAGAAATTTTGATTACCTCCCAAGTGCTCTTTACAATCTGCATAAGAGACCTATCCATTGGCTTTCCATCAATAACAATGTTCCCAGCAAAGAACCAGTGTCGACTGTGCTCGCTGTTGGATTGAGCGATATCAAATAGCTCCACATTGGTAGGATCACGCTGAATGTCCTCTCTGAAAAGTCTAGTATAATACTGCAAATCTTGCTCATCAAAGGCTAAACCCATCTCCTGGTTGATTTCTTCCAGCGCCTTCCGACCCTTCTCCATCACAGGCACATACTTTACTTCCTCTGGAACCACATTTGTCTCAAATGAAACCAGCCTTTGGGAGTACAAACACTCGGTCATTCTGTCGTGAACCATTGCAGCAAATTCCTTTATTTGATTTTCTAACAGTGGCTCCTTGCTGAACAAAAGGTATCTCCTCGACCTTTCTAAGCGAGTAACCTCGTTTAACCCACATGCTCTACATATCGAAACCGCATTGGTGGACCATGCTGTTGTAAAAGACAATCTGGGACCAACTTCAACAATTACAGCATGGAGTCCTTCTTGCTTCTTCCTCTCAAGAAAACTATCCGTACCTGAAATTTAACTCAGTCATCAATAACAGAGAGGCCTAAGAAAATTGTAACCATATCAAAATATAGCATGACATTTAACAGAACCTAAATTCTCTGGCTCATATGTTTCTTGAAGAATCCACTTCAGAACAGAAAGCTTTTCGTCTTTTAACTTGGATTCAAGCCCGATATTGAAACACTGTTCTGTAGTCAAACTGACAATCTGGTTGCCGATTTTGGTTTGAACCGCCTTGAGGAGTTCCGCGTTTGCACTTTCTTGAATCAAAGGCACACGATAAAAATGGATAACCTCAGCAGCAGGTTTCTCAACCAAGCTCGGTAGCTCATCAGCAGAAACAAAAGAACCAGTAGAAACAGCTGCTTTCGGCTTATTAGGTTGAGCAGAACATCTCAAGCTAACAGCTTTAGTTCGATTCAGAGACAACCGTGAAGTTCTCATTCCAACAGAACCCCACAATTGACTTGTTGAGCTTCTCTGGCATCTCTGCAAAAGCATTGCTTGTCTATTGGAACCCTGCAAAAAAAAAAAAAAAAAAAAAAACACTAACTTGTTAAAACGAAAACATTACGGATGCCAAATAATATGAAGTTTCTATGAAATTAGAGTCCTAAGTTACTGCATTCAACCCCTCCGTTTTACTTAACAAAATCAACAGTACCTTTCGAAATCAATCTATGAAGAGTTTAAGCAACAGAACGAGAGAAATTAAGTTCATAAATCAATCGACACAAAACTTGGACCATTGAAAAGAATATCAGTAAGAGAATATTTACGTTTAGGAACAGAGCCGCACGAGTTGCTTGGGAGGTATTCATCGTCGCCAGAGATGACAGGAACAGCAAACAAAGTGAAAAAGCGGTTTAGGGTTTTTCTGTTTTACTGTCTTAACGGGACCGAAGCTCCGACTCCGAGAGTACGGCAGTCGACACACAGTTCTTGTCTGGTCTCTCCTCTCAACGAATCTTAGGTTTGTTGGTTTTTTTTTTTGTTTACATGAGAACATAATTCTGATTAAAAATTTTAAAGTTGAGCCTAGCTAAGCCCATTAAAAGTTTAATGGGCCAAAGGGCCGATATCACAAATCGAGTCTCAAATGTTTTCATTTTCATTTTCATTTACAGCTCATGTTTTTTTTAGGAGTGATTTTCGACTTTGGGACTTCAACAATTAACATATGCGAAGGATAATCCTCTGATTTAAAATGTTTCTAAGAGATAATTATGAAGTTCTAATAGTGATTTGAAAAAATGTTGCAAGAGATTTTGCATTATAGGACTAGTATTAGGCTTAGATGAGGTTTCTAGTATTAGTATTACATGAAGTTTACACAAAAACCAGTAACAATTGCTTTACTACGCCGTTTTGTATCTGAATCCATGATACAATTAAGCTATCAGAGAGTAATATTCATCCGTTTTGAATCAGTATAAGGGGAAAAAGGATTCTAATTTGTGATGAAAAACCAGATCCATGATCAAAGTCAATTTAGAGAATCTCCAAACACTTCAAACAAAGAAAGGAAATGCTTTCAATATCAAAATACAAAATAACAAACTAGTGAACAAAACCAAGGCGGCTAAATTATAAGTTTAAGCCATTTTGCATTTGCTTCATATGTTACTCGGATACATGAAGACTCTCACCCTGCTTCCCTGCAAGAAAATAAGGAATAGTATCTTGTTAAAAACCCAAGCAAAAGATTTCACTCTTAAACAGAGAAGATGATGAATGGTTATAGAATCTGTTTAAGTACCATGGACTTAGGAGGCAGGTTGGACGTGAATTTAGCTCGGACAACACCACTGTTACCGTGAGGCCTGGTAACCTTTCCCCAGATGCAGCGGTAGTGGCTACCGTTCTTCTTTGTCTTAGCCTTGTAGATGTAAGCCATCCTCTTTCCCTTGTACCAGTTTACCTCCTCCTGAGTGTTAACTCCTTCGATCTGGACGAGGGACGTGTTGGGATACTGGTTCGACTTTGACCTGCACATTGAAGTAAATGTCAGACCAGAGTCAGTATCAAATTGTTAAGAATCGGTTTCAGCATGACAAGATTATTTAAGCAGAACTCAGTTATCAATAATGTTGATTAAAAGAGAAACACAAAGCAGCTCAAAAATGTAGATAACTAAACTAATAAAGAGTCTAAAATGTTTCAATTGAGTGAAAGTATCTGATCATAAGTGGACATGAAGCTTAGTACTTAGTATTCGATTCTATCAAATTGGCTTACATAAAAAAACTAATCAAGGTTCATTACATGTTAATCTTATTGGCGTCAAATCAAAAACTATAAACAGTATAAAATGGAAAACCAAAGAGATTAAAGAAATGGGTCACCTCTTGTATCCGAGGATGGTTCCTCTCACGTAGAGTCTGCAAAATTTGATAACATAAAAAGAATCAGACTTTCCAATTATTAATCATTGAACAACGGATAACCGATAAGACAAAATCACTAGACCATGAAGAAATCAGCTCAAATCTAGACAATACAAGAGTAGCAAAGCAGTTTCAGAAGTGAGGAAAACAGAGCAAATCTCAAAATGATACCATAGAAAACCAGCTCGGTTATAGATCAAACTCGAAGAAGAAGAAAAAGAGAAATAGAAGAAAGACCTGACTCGTTCTCCTTGGCGTCCCTTCACCATTTTCGATTCCGCCGAATATCCAAAGTCTGCTGCTACTCAAAGGGAGAAAACGAAGAAGAAACCCTAATTCATCAATTAGGTTTTATATATTGCTCCCCCCCTTGTTCCCTTTGATTTAATATGGGCTTATGGGCCTTAAGCCTCGGGCCATTAATATAGTGAAACGAAACATTAATGGGCTTCTCCATTTTTAATTCAAAAAAACATGTAATTAATTCTTGGAACAATAATAACACTTTCAAGAATCGTCGCCGTTGGCCGCCGTGCCTCTCCGATCATCTTCCCGTTGGTGAAATGGCGAATGGTTCAGCAAGGAAAAGCTCAATAAAGGCTTCCTCTCGAAAGAGTTTTCTTCTTCCCTCAAGTGTGATCATCATTGTTGGGATAATCTTGGCGTTGACTTATCAGTCGAAGTTGAAACCTCCTCCGCCGAAGCTATGTGGCTCTCCCGGTGGTCCACCTATCACAGCGCCGAGGATAAAGCTGAGAGATGGAAGGCATTTGGCATTCAAAGAGCATGGACTTCCAAGAGAGAAAGCTAACCGCAAAATCATCTTCATCCATGGATCCGATTGCTGTAGACACGACGCCGTTTTCGCCACTCTCCTCTCTCAGGTACTTCTTACATTTACACAATCAAGATAATGCATATTTGCTTCTAAGGTTGATTTGATAGATAATGGTTATGTAATAATACTATGATCACCATGTTTTTAATCATTTATTTAATTAGTGGTATGTTAATTGTAGCAAGTAGTGGTGTATGAGCTAGAATTAGGAGGGAGAGTGGTCTTAGAATTTCCTTTTCTTATAGACAAGTTGAATGAGAAATTTGTTTGAGAATTTCGTTTTTTGGTTTTTTATTGTGACCTCGTGTCAATTGCATTTTGTAGGATTTAGTAGGGGAAAAATGTCATTTAATAGCTCAACTTTCAAATAGTGGTCGTTTCAGATACCAACTTCATATATGGCCATTTTAAACATGAAGATATCGTTGACCAACCATTTGAACCATAAACATTTGTTGACCAGGCCAAAAAGACAAGCCGTTATCAGTTTATCTAACATCCGTTAACACCTCCGTTAACCACTCAAAAACGACGTCGTTTTTGTCTTTTAAAAATATTACAAACCTAAGCATTCGAACCCGTCACCTGCGAGTGCTCCCTGATCTTAATGAACCAACTAAGCTAAAGTGTTTTAATAACTATTATTTACAAACACATAATTATATACCCGGATGCCGTTAGAAACATCAGATCCGGTGAGAGCAATTGCAGAGCAGATACATAAGGTGCGACAGCGAAGGTGCATGTGAGACGACGAAGAACTAGTGCATGTAGTTTGTGTTGCTGATTTCATATGAATCGACGAATCCATCAATAGTGTCCATAGAAACAGGTTCCGATGAATTGAATTTAGCAAATTTGAGATCTTTTCAATCAACGAAAAAACGATATGGTTAAGATTAAAGAGAATCATACGAGAGAAAACGCAGATTCAGAGGCGGCTATGGAGATGTTTTGTTTCGTAGGTTAAAGATGAAGAAGAAGAGCTCTAAGAATATATAACTATATGTGTTTCTATAGAATTACCAATAAAACGCTACAGGTGAATTGGTTAAGTACCCTTTGGTTTTTCTTTAAAGGTTAGGGGTTCGAATCCTAGGTTTGTAATTTATTTTTAAAAGACAAAAACGACGTCGTTTTTGAATGGTTAACGGAAGTGTTAACAGATGTTAGATAATTTGTTAACGATTGATAACGGCTTGTCTTTTTGGCCTGGTCAACAAATGTTCATGGTTCAAACGGTTGGTCAACGATATCTTTATGTTTAAAATGGCCATATATGAAGTTGGTGTCTGGAACGGCCACAATTTGAAAGTTGGGCTATTAAAGGACATTTTTCCCGATTTAGTAGAGGAACTAGGTGTATATATGGTTTCATTCGATAGACCGGGCTATTGTGAGAGTGATCCGCATCCAAATCGTACACCTCGAAGCTTGGTTTCGGACATTGAAGAGCTCGCTGATCAATTGAGTCTAGGGTCGAAATTTTATGTGCTCGGGTACTCGATGGGGGGACAAGCAGCATGGGGATGCCTTAAATACATTCCTCATAGGTTAGCCGGAGTAACACTTGTTGCTCATGTGGTTAACTATTATTGGAGGAACTTACCTTTGAACGTTTCTACTGAAGGATTTAACTTGCAACAAAAGAGAGATCAATGGGCAGTTCGTGTTGCTCACTATGCTCCTTTGCTTATCTATTGGTGGAACACACAAAAATGGTTCCCGGGTTCGAGTATTGCGAACCGAGATCACAGTCTCTTGTCACAGCCGGATAGAGATATCATTTCAAAGCTTGGTTCTTCAAGGAAACCGCATTGGGAAGAAGTAAGGCAACAAGGAATACATGAGAGTTTCAACCGCGACATGATCGTGAGATTTGGGAATTGGGAGTTTGATCCTGTAGAACTCGAGAATCCATTTTTGAACAATGAAGGCTCTGTGAATTTGTGGCAAGGGGATGAGGACATGTTAGTGCCTGTGACGCTGCAACGTTACATTGCTCATAAGCTTCCTTGGCTTCACTATCATGAGGTTCCGGGAAGTGGCCACTTCTTCCCCTTCGCTAAAGGTGTGGTTGATGAGATTGTTAAGACAGCGCTGATGCAGAGCATTAACTAAGATAAGATCACAAAGGTCTAAAAAAAGCCTAAAAGATTATGGGTACAAAAGATTTCTTATGTAAAATGGTTTACATATACGAAAACATAATAAAAAGTAGACTTTTTTACAGTTCCACACCATTATAGTCTACCAAAAGCATGAGTCTCATCGGACTCTAAAAGCTTAAGTCACAAACACAACACCTCAAAAGAACTCTTAACCGTTGGAGGCCCTAAAGGTCAAGACTTTAATCCTCCACCATTTCCTCATCATCATCTATTTCCTCGATCCTCATCTTTTTCACTGCCTGAGCTGCATCACTTCTCTTTGGCCCGTTAGCAATATGAATCAGCACATCTGACTTCTTCCCTGTTGAAGCGTCCACTAGACCTCCACTTTCTACCCGGTACACAAGATCAGATCCACCAGCGCCTGCATCTATGTAAACAGTGGAGTTTTCATCGATTTCCTCACGCACAACCATCTTTGACAGTTCTGTCACCACCTTCTTCTCCATCCATCTCCTTATAGGCCTGGCTCCATACACCTAACCAACAAAACAAGAAAGCAAACACAAGAGTCAGTCAACAGAACAAACCAACCTGAGAGAGTAACAACGATATGCATTCTGCATCATGCGAAGAGACTTACCGGGTCATAACTCTCTGCCAAAATATAGTCCAAAGCAGCATCAGTGACTGCCAAAGCAACTCCTCTTTCGGCAAGCCGGACAGCAACATCTTTCATTTGAAGCCGGGCTACTTTCCTCAACTGGTCATGTGAAAGGGGATCGAACACCACAATCTCGTCAAGCCTGTTCAAGAGCTCTGGTCTGAAGTGTTTCCTCACCTCCCGCATCACACATTCCCGAGCCACTTCCATTGTTACTTTCCCAGTTAGCCCTGAAAGGAGGTGCTCGGCACCAAGGTTTGATGTCATGATTATCACCGAGTTCCTGAAATCGACTGTCCTGCCTTGCCCGTCTGTCAATCGACCGTCATCCAACACTTGGAGCAGAGTGTTGAAGACAGCAACATGAGCCTTCTCCACTTCATCAAAGAGTATGACACAATAGGGTCGCCTCCTCACAGCCTCAGTTAGTTGTCCACCTTCCTCGTGACCAACATACCTGAGAAAGTGTCATCATGTAAGTTACAAAGACAAACTCCATAATTTAAACATCTTCAAAAGTAAATTATAAGATACTTACCCAGGTGGTGCCCCAATGAGGCGAGAAACAGAGTGTTGTTCCATATATTCCGACATATCAATCCGAACTAAGAGGTTTTCATCATCAAACAGCTGCTCAGCAAGAGCCTTGGCGAGCTCAGTTTTGCCAACACCAGTTGGTCCAAGAAATAAGAATGATCCAGTTGGCTGTTGAGGCCTTCCAAGTCCTGCCCTTGACCTTAGAATTGCCTCAGAAACTGCATTTACCGCTTGATTCTGTCCCACAACCCTCTTGTGCAACCTATCAGCAAGACCAATCAACCTCTCCTTCTCATTTTGGCCGAGTCTCGTAACTGGAATCCCCGTCCAACGGCTCACAACCTCAGCAATATGTTCCGGCCCAACGTTTTCTGTAAGCATCACATTCTCTTCAGAAGAAGTTCCTTCAAGTTGGGCAATTGCAGATTCCACTTCTTGAATTGCCCCATATCTTAGATCAGCAGCTCTTGCAAGGTCATATCTTCGTTCTGCCTCCTGCAAAGAAAACATGAGCTCTTCCCTTTTCTGTTTAAGCCTTCGAATCTCATCAATTCTCTCTTTCTCCTTTCTGTATTTCATCGTGAGTGGCTGAAGCTTGTCTCTCAGGTCATCAAGCTCTTTCCGCACCTACAGATTCATAGTTCGAGAAAACTTTATCAAAGACTCATCCCAAAAGAAGATGCTAACAATCAAGAATTCCAGATCAAGTATCAACTGAAGAGAGAAGAAAGCTGTATCATACCTCTATAAGTCGAGCTTTGCTGGCTTTATCCTTCTCCCTTTCCAAGGCGTGAAGTTCAATTTCCAGCTGCATCCTCTTCCTTTCAAGGTTATCAATCTCTTCAGGTTGACTATCAAGCTGGACTCTCACATTCGCACAAGCCTCATCAACCAAATCAATCGCTTTATCCGGTAAATGCCGACCTAAATAACAACACAAACACCACAAAAATGTCATGCCAAGAACAATACTATGAAACCATAAACATCAGCTTGGGATTAAGAATCTTAAAATACCAGTTATGTAACGAGCAGACAGCTGAGCAGCATTTATAAGAGCTCTGTCCTGGATACGAACACCATGATGTCCCTCATACTTCTCTTTAAGCCCTCTAAGAATACTGATAGTATCAGGCACACTTGGCTCAGCGACATAGACTTGCTGGAACCTCCTCTCAAAGGCAGCATCTTTCTCAACATATTTCCTGTACTCTTCAAGCGTTGTAGCACCAATGCATCGAAGTTGCCCTCTAGCTAACATGGGCTTGAACAGATTAGCTGCATCCATTGAACCTTCAGTTTTGCCAGCACCAAGAACCAAGTGAATCTCATCAATAAAGAGAATCACTTTGCCTTCAGCTTCCTCAACTTCTTTCAAAACAGCTTTCAATCTTTCTTCAAACTCTCCTCGGTACTTAGCACCAGCAACTAATGCACCCATGTCCAAAGAAATCAATCTCACATCAGTAAGACTGTTGGGGACATCTCCTTTCACAATCCTTTGCGCTAAACCTTCAACCACAGCTGTTTTACCAACTCCTGGCTCTCCAATAAGCACAGGATTGTTTTTTGTTCTCCTCGAAAGAATCCTAACAACTCTTCTAATCTCCTCGTCCCGACCAATCACAGGATCAAGCTTCCCTGCTTGCTCGACCAAATCTCTTCCATAAGTCTTCAAAGCTTGGAAATTTGTATCCCCTGAAGCACTCTCCACCTTCTTCCCTTCTTTCCCACGAAGCTTCTCAACCTCAGACTTTACCCTCGCGGTTGCAACACCAACTTCATTCAACAAATCCCGGATTTGAGAATCTTCAAGAAGACCCATAATCAACTGATCAACAGCCAAATGACTGTCACCGCGTGACTTCTGAGCAGCTTGAGCACGACGTATGACCTTGATAAGACTAGAACTCGCTGGAATATCATCAGGTGGAGGAGATTGTGAAGGAAGCTTCTTCAAGGCTTGGTTGATCACTCTTTCAGCAGATTGTGCTGCGTTCTCGCCACCGGCACTAGATATTGCTTGAGGGAATATACCAGTGGGATCAGAGATCAAAGCACCAGCTAAATGCAGAGGAGTGAATTGAGCATGTCCTGCATTCACAGCTAACTCATGAGCTGTAGCAATCGTCTCGTTTGTCTTGTGTGTGAATTTCTCCGGATTCATCTTCGAATTAGCCCTTGTAATCCCTGAAAAGACACAAAAACAAAACCCTAATCTCAGTATTTTTCATACGCAATCGACAAAACCACAAACGCACAAAACGAATCTCGAAGAAAACATAAACCCAGAAAGAAGAACAATGTTGCGCTCAGTTACCTTAAACGATATGAGAACTGGGTTTGATTCGCAGAGTTTCTTCAATGAATCAGACGACTTCTTCTTCTTCTCAGAAACAAGTCTCTCTCTTTTTGCAGAGAATCAAGTAGATTGTAACGATAATGTTGTAAAATTGAAACCTTTAGATGTTTGGAAACTTTGTGAATTGCGAGAGAGCGAGGAGGCATGAGTGCTTTTGTATATGGAAGGAGATTCATCTGGAAAGATAGAGAACTCTCGTCGTTTTTTCCCATAGAACTAGAAGCTACCAGAGAATTCGAGAGAGAGTGAGAGAGAAAATGTCAATTCCACTCTTTGTGATTCAACAGCTATATGCCACGTGGAATTTCCTCTCTTTTTATTGACACCGTGGAATTTCCTTTTTTATGGTTCTCTCCTGGATTTTTTATTTGTAATGCTTCGAAATAACAACAACAAAAATTAATCTCTCCTCTTTTGCCCCATTATTTAACTTTAGAAGAATGCTAAACTAGTAGAAATTAAAATTATAAATCTAATTAATGGAAATAGAAGCTGGCTAATTGTCTATTTGATGACACATGCCATAGATTTTTTCGTCTAAATATCAAAAACCCACAAATAGAGAAAAATTATTTGGACCTTCTGAAAATAGTTGTACTACAAATGGATCCTCGTATAAATTTAAGGAGTCAAATGAAAATATTTATAGTATATGTTGTTATTTAGCAAACAGTCCTTCATTTCCTCCACCATTTTCTTTTTTCACAATATCTTGTCTTGATCCTATCCTCTGCTCTTCCTCGATCTGCGCAACGTTCTCTCTATTACTTCAAACTCCATAATCATCTCTCGATTAACCCCTCTTCGTCAATTTTCCTCTCAGACCAATCTTGCTTCAGCATCCATCGTGTGATTTTTGTTTAAAAACGTAAGCTTTCTTCCTTTTTACAAGGCTTGTGTTTTGTGTCAATCTCAAAGTAGATCGTCCTGTGGAGGAGCTAAGTATAAAGATTGATAAACCTAATTTCTCTCATTCTATTGTAGAAACTTTATCGAGATTAGTAAGGATATAATCAATCGTATAGAGTTTTAGAGTGAAATTCAGAATTTTTAGGAAACGGAAGCTTATAGAATTGTTGCATTAAGCTAATCTTAGAACCTCCCTGAATCGAAAAAAAGAACAAGTGTTTGTTGAAAGTATCTGTTTTTATCTTGTACAGAGAGATTTTTCTCTGTGTGTGGCAATCAAACGACGATGGATGGTACTGAAAAGGATGTGGAGAATAAACAATATCGTTTGCCTCGAGAAGTCAAGGAAGCTTTACAAGCAATAGCATCAGAGTGGGAAGATGTGATTGATTCAAAGGCTCTGCAAGTTATTCCATTAAAAGGTGCAATGACTAATGAGGTCTTTCAGATCAAATGGCCAACTAGGGAAAAAGGTCCTTCTCGTAAGGTTTTGGTTAGGATTTATGGTGAAGGTGTTGAGATTTTCTTTGATCGTGAGGATGAGATCAGGACATTTGAGTTTATGTCAAAGCATGGTCATGGACCATTGTTGTTAGGACGGTTTGGCAATGGTCGTATCGAAGAGTTCCTCCATGCACGGGTAATTATTTATACTTTAGCTTATTCTTCAAATGCCCTGTGTTCCTAAGTTATTGATTATCATTTCGTAGGTAGTTCTTATTTGTCTTTCTACATTCTTGTTTACTGAGTTTGTAACTTGTTTCCTGAACTATGAACTTTCAGACCCTATCTGCTTGTGACTTGCGTGATCCTGAAATATCTGGTCGAATAGCAACTAGGATGAAGGAGTTTCACGGTCTTGAAATGCCTGGTGTGAAGAAGGCTTTACTTTGGGACAGATTACGGTACATTTCATCGTTCTCTGCTAGATTCTACTTTGCTTTTCTAATCAAGCATTAAAATTTTGGTCTTTTTGAATTTGTTCCTCCACTTTGTTTTTTGCAACTTCAGAAATTGGCTCACTGCATGCAAGAGACTGGCTTCACCAGAAGAAGCTAACTCTTTTCGTCTCGATGTTATGGAGATGGAAATTCATTTGCTTGAGAAATCTCTCTTTAACAATGATGAAAATATTGGATTTTGCCACAATGATTTACAGTATGGAAACATAATGATGGATGAAGAAACCAAAGCAATCACCATCATTGTAAGGTTTCATAAATTTGTTTGGTCAGTTCTCTTTTTTTTTCAGTGGCGTTACTAAAATATGGATCCTAACTCGATTTTGTTATTATTTTGTCTTACAAAAATTAGGATTATGAATATTCATGCTACAATCCTGTGGCTTATGACATTGCCAATCACTTCTGTGAGATGGCTGCCGATTACCACACTGAAACACCTCACATCATGGATTATAGTAAATACCCTGGTAAGTGTCTGTTTCAAGTCATCTTTCTTTATCTTTGAAGTGATACAAGCTCAATCATATATGGTAATGTTAGGTGTGGAGGAGCGACAAAGATTTCTGAAAACATATTTGAGTTATTCAGGTGATTATTTTATCACACTTTCTCGCTATGAGATTCAGCAATAAATCACTGAACGGCCATAATTCTTTATTGTATTTGTTCTTGTGAGTCCAGGTGAAGAGCCCAGCAATACTATGGTCGAAAAACTCCTAGAAGACGTTGAGAAATATACGCTTGCTAGTCATCTAACTTGGGGTCTATGGGGAATTATATCGGTAATTTTTACAATAATCTTTATACCTCCATTTTATGAATCCATCTATAGATTCTCGATTTTCATTTTCATTTTGTAAAAATTTACAGGAACATGTAAATGAAATCGACTTCGACTACATGGAGTACGCAAGACAAAGGTTTGAGCAGTATTGGTTAACAAAGCCGAGGCTCCTTGAGGCTTCCGAACACAAGTAATTTCTATGGACCCAATCCAAGAAGAGCATTTTTACGGTGGTAAAGAGGTATATACACACAAAAAGGTGCTAGATACAATGATATTTACCAACTTCAAAAAATAAGAAAATGTATCGTTTTCTGTTTTACCTTTTTACAAGGCAAAGTGTAATGGTCAGTAGTTTATAATCAACAGTCGAATTTGTTTCAGATGAAATGTAGTTCGCACAACTTGAATCACATTTATTTTTTCTTCGCCTATGATCTGCGAATTTTTCCCATCGTTTTTATTTGTCGATTACGATTTAGAATATGAAGGTACACTAAAATTACACTTAACTTGACCCTCTTGGGATCATCTTAGTTGGTTCGCTTCTCAGTAAACTAAAGATCGGCATCATGAAAAAGAAGATGGTCCTAACTTTGTATTATACAATTGTATACCTTATAACATAAACCTGTTATACAACTGGACTCGAAAGAAAGCATAAAGCTGTCTAAATATATGCCTATAGATAAAATATTCTAGGAACTGAGCTCTATACATTATTGCCTCTGAATGTGAATAGGCTCTCAAAAAGTGTACCTTCATATACTTAAGAATAAATCAATACATAATTAACAACAAAAGAATGCTTTATGGCCATTTCTCCACCTTGTTTGATAATCACAGGTCTTGACGATACAAACATAATTTCACAAGACTTTTTGGAGCTCTTTTCTCCATCTCCTTGTGAGGTTTGTGATTACAGTCACTTCCCCTGTTTCTTATCTGCAAGTTCAAAGGACCAACAACAAACTTGTTCATGTTTCAGATTTTCTTACTCAATACCTAAAAACAAAAGCATAAGGGCTGAATACAAAACCACTGGATAAGTTACAATTCAGTTGAGAAAAGCAAAATCTTTTTTAATTTTCTTGGAATTTATTGAGAAAGATGAATTCACTTACACTCAATCAGTTTGCCTTTTTGGGCAAAGAAAAATCGCAAGTCTTATTTGTAAAAGAGAAGAACCACGACACAAAACAATGAAGGATATAGTCAGCTAAAGCTTTCTTAATTTACCTTTCTGGAACCACGGTTTTCGAATTAGCTTGCGGATGTTGCGTTCATGGCGTTCCAATAGTTCATCAACTCCATAAGATTGAGACAACAAAGGGCCCGAGAATTCGATCTTGTCCCCATCACCCTGTCATGTCAAGGCTTAAGTTATCAGTATCATTGAGCATGCTTGTCACTAAACCCAAAAAGGGGACAAACTAAATCATGCCTACTTTTTCCTCTCTCCTCTGAACTTTAGGTGAAAGCGTGGAGAGAGAGAGAGGATAAAAAAAAAAACTTAAACAGCTGAGGAAACATAATCTGACTACCAACGGTAATCTGGTCCTCTCTTTCTACTTTTTGAGCTGTATATCCCATTTACACCGTATCTTATAGTATGTATATAATAGTTCCTGAAATCTCCGAAATCACTTAGATATATAACTATTACAGCACTACTGCAATCATATCTTTAGAATTACTTTCATTTTATTTCACATTTTGACACTCGCATTACAGCATAAGAAAGAATGAAATTAAATCCTAAGTTTCACATGTAAGAACGTCTGGCACAAAGCATACTTGGTCTCTACTATGTCTGTCAGTAGCACTAAACTGCAATGGAAGCAATGCAAATAACAATCTGCTATATGGAATTTGGATATTAAATATACTAGAAGGGTGCTTTTAGAGCTTCTATAATCTATAAACGTACCAAATTATTACCCAGCTTTTTTGCCATTTCATCTCTCTGATAGAGTCCCAATGACAGTTCCTGCGAGTGATACTCGTCAGATGTACCAAAAGAATCTGGACGTTCAAGTTGTCTCCACTGCTTCAGCATAGAACGCTTCACCATCTCATAAGACTCCTGGCCTAGAGAATCTGTCTTGTCCTCGTTTTCATTCTTATTTATCTTGAATGTGGGGGAATGTCCTGACAAGTTAGGAATGTGACCTCTTGAGAGAGATCGATTATGTACCCTAACACATACGTCATCTTTTTCTCGTTTCGCCCAAGCAAAACTGTTTGATTTAGAGACTTGTAACGGCCCTGAGAAAGGCACATCTCCTTGTGATGCATGCTTCACATGGGAAGGTTCGTCTTTCTTGTGATTCAATGGATTTTGCAGTTTCCCACATAACCTGGCATCACTTTCAATCGAATTATGAACTAAATGACCAATTCGTTTCTGAAAGGTTTCAGTTTGATGCCGCGCATCCTGCAAACCGAAAAATAGGGTACATTTCAGTTTCTTGAACGAGGAATTATACTCTCAAGGTACAGATAACATGTAGAAAAGTGAGTAAGTAGGAAGTACCTCAACTGGTGCCAATCTGTTGAATGAATGGGCCTTCCTTGATGGCTTCCTCGCATCTATACCACGCCTCCCATTCCCACTAATTTTTTTCCTGAAAATCGGATATTAAATATGCGGATGTTACAAATGCTTCCAAGACCTGACATATAAGGCCAGCCAAAATGGTAGACTAGGTAATTTCCCAGAGCTGTGGAACAGTAGATTGTGTGTTTCAAACTTTATTTTCTTCTGATTAAAGAGATGATATAATCATGAAAAGAAATTTTCTCTATCAGGTAATGAAAAAAATTACTGACCTTGCTGCTTCGTCCCGATGCTTTGAATCTATCTCCTTGCTAGGTGGGTATATTGGCAAGCTTGAGGGATCACAAGCAAAAGGCTTTGTAGTAAAATACTGAAAAAAAAAAACAAAAGGCAATGTCTTCATTTGTAAAAGATGAGCAAAATACACTAATATGGTTTGTTTTCACGGAAATCAAATTTGTAAGTCTTTAAACTTGATATATTAATCCAAGGATAAAAAGGTTACCTGAGAAACAAGGGCACTAGAGGCAGTACCGCGTTTGTGAGGATCTATAGAAAGAAGAGTTTCTATCAGATTGATTTCAGTCTCAGACAAATCTTTCAAGGTTTCCCGGAGACAACTATCATAATTTTGTTGTGGCTTGAAAAGCATTGCATGGGGAAGTTTGGACTTTTTCCAGTAGTCTTCTGGTGGAGATCCACACAGTTTGAAGATTTTGTGCAGCTGTTCAACCTGCTCCATACAATTAAAGTAATAGCACGGAGTCAATGACCAAAAGGTCCAATATCATAAATAATTAAAGACAGTGTTAAGAGGCTTACCTCAGTTCTTCCCCGGAGAATAGGTTTTCCAAGAAGCAGCTCAGCGAAAACACAACCAACACTCCACATGTCAACAGATGCTCCATAGTCCGTTGCCCCGAGCAGAAGTTCAGGTGGACGATACCACAGAGTCACAACTCGACTGGTAAGAGGTATCTTCTTGTGTCCAGAACAATTGCTGAAGTTTGCTAACCCAAAATCAGCCACCTTTAGTATTCCTTCATTACTCAACAAAAGATTTGAACCCTTTATGTCCCGATGCATCACACCTCGTGAATGACAATGATCAAGCCCAGACAACAACTGCTTCATGTAACACTTAATCTGCAGGGACAAAACCCAATGATCATACAACCAAATACCCCAACATTATGGACGATGATACTTCCACTATAAAATCTAACCAACCTGGGGCGTCGTAAATTTGATGTCAGGGGAAGAAAGAAGACCAGTAAGATCATGCTCCATATACTCGAACACAAGTTGTATGTTGCAAGATAGTTTTGAAGTAATCAAGCCTTCTAATTTGATAATGTTGGGATGGTTGAGTCTTCTAAGTATCAAAATCTCTCTTGCCATAAACTTAACACTCTCTGGCTCAAAATTATCAAACCTCACCTTCTTCAACGCCACAATCCTCCCAGTTTCAGTCTCCACCGCACGAAACACGCTGCTATAAGTACCTTGTCCAATCTACAGAAACCAAATCAAACCTCCATAAAATTTCACAAATTCCTCTTCCATTTGAACCAGAAACAAACAACATTCACAAAAGACACAAGCATTGTCAAATATCGAACCTTTTCGAGCTTTTCGAAAGCATCGGATCGAAGAGGAACCCAACCATGGATAGCTTCACCAGCAACGTTGCTCAACCACGCAGGCCAACCCGCAGCGACTTGCTCAGCTTCAAGGTATCTACTAACATTACCGAGTCGAAAACTCAGCGAGTCACTAGCACGTCCTGACTCGCTCCCCAACTCACTACCGCTCTTCTGACTTCTCCTCTTCCCGCTCCTGCTCCTCCATGACACGAGTTTCTTCAACGTCGCGCGAGGCGGATCCTCCAACACTATCCGACCCGATCCGGAACACTCATTCTCATTTTCCTTGAATACACCTGAGTGATCGATCGCAGGCGTCACAGAGACCGTCTGCTTCGAGCTAACGCAACCCATTTCTTACAGAATTCCGATTACTCCCTAACTTCACAACCACCACAAGTGACTAGATAATCTCCTCTCCGTATTTTCCGGCGCCGTCACGGTAAGATCCGTCGGCGTAATTCGGATCCGGAATCGAAGTGAATCTCCTGAAAGTAGTGAAAACTTGAGAGGTTTCGTATATTTTTATAATGAAGATAGAGAAGAAGAGAATGTTTTTAGGCTCTTCACTTTTCTTTTTTTTCTTTTTTTGCCGTATTACAGAAGAAGGTACATTACTTCATTTAAAAAATATACTAAAATATTAAGAAAATAAAATTCAAAAGAAAACATGCATTTATTAGTCTGGTCCAAAAAATCGAATCTACACCTTCCAAAATTTGAAACCTATTTTAGCAAATAGTTAATGACAGCTTTTTTGTTGAAATAAAGAATAGACTACACAAATGTGGTAGAACAGAATTCAAAGCGTGTTGGAATAATTATTATTATACCAAAAAAAAAAAAAAAAAAAGAGGAAATTGATTTTTGGTTGTACGAAGATGGACTTGAAATGATTTATCCATAAGCACTAAGTATGTAGTGCTAATGAGATTAAAAAAAGCTAAGACTATGATTAAATTCCATAAGATAAGTCAAAACAAAATTCATTACAGACATATAATAATTGCAAAGAGAAACTCACTTGTGTCTCTAATGCTTTGCCAGCTCTTTGTCTATGATGACTACTACTAGTCTACTAGTAATAATATTTTGCTTAATATATCTATTTCTCAACATTCAAGCACTAAGTATATTTTTAAGTATGATTTGAGGTACTTATAGAGTTATAGCTAACAAAATCAATTTCTATCAGTCAATTTTATTTATTTTTCTCTCTAAAAAAGACGAAACCAGAAAAGTAAATAGATCAGTAACTGCCATATGCAGAAAACACAAGAGACAAAAGAAGAAACAAAAAAAAGTATAGTCAAAAAAACTATTCGAAAAATGCCATCATTCACCTAAATCATTCCTTGTTATATTCTGTAAACAGATTTTAAGTTGAATGGTAGTGAGCCTAAATTCCATCATCACATAATGTTTGTAATGATGATCAGATTAATAAGAGAAGAAATTCCAAGAAAAGATTTGAACTTAATATGTCTATATGTATTCAAGATCATATGACATAGTCTCGTACGGTTCAACTACACCATTTAAAGTTCAGGACTAAACCTCTGAAAGACCAAAACAAAGTAGGGACAAGTTAAGAAACAAGAACAGAACATTGCCTCAATGTAAAAGTTGAAATCAAGCCTTCTTCTTTTTGGATTTGAGCATGACCATGCCGATGAATACGGAAATGAGAGAGAGGAGAGCTATGCCGGCAAACACAGGTACGAGAATGGCATAGTCTTGGGGCAAGAAGTACTTGTGGATGAAGTGATCACTATCTACGAATGGCTGTACAAAAGAAAAATTATATCACGTGAACTTTTTCCTAGTATTATCAATTTGATAATGTCCTCTTAAGGAACTTGGGGGAGATGAGTTATGTTGTTGTCACTTACCAGGATGATGACCCAAAAAGTATAGTACGTGAATATGGATAAGCTGATTGAAGAAAGTAGAAGCCCGACTGCTCGATCCGCTAATTCCATTTTGTCAAGTTCAAAACCTGTAGCACGGCAAATCAACTGTGAGAAAAAAAATCAGAAAAATTCAAGAAGCTAAGCATTGAAAGATACAGTCAAAAGTGAAGGAAGTTATATTGTGAATGTCACTGGAACCATTTCACCTAGATTTTCCCATTAGACCAGCTAATGCCATGGTTTTAGGTTCTGATGGTATGCAAACTGTGCTACTGCACAAGGCATCTCGAAATTAAAACAGTTGAAGAACAATAGTCACCGGACCTATGATTTGCTAGACATCATATACACAGAGCTCAACAAACTGTCTAAAACGAATCAGAGTTGACCTAGCAAGATATCAAACACTTGCAGGACTCTTGTAGTGAAGAGAAAGTAATTATCTCCAGGCTCCAAAATCAACGGCTTGAAGTGATATTTGACCTATATAGAGATCTTTGAGGTGTTCCTTACACAGCCCTATTCTCCTTCCATTTAAGCTAGAAGGAATACAAACAGAAAATCCAGTTTTCCAACCAGGAAACTTCTGTCTCTCCATTGCATGTAGAGTATAAACAGCAGGTGCAGCCATCGAACAACCAATTACAAAGCAATTGCACGGCCTTGATTCACTCACTAATCGAGCTAAAGACAATAAACACAAACCACTATTGGAAAGGCCATATGTTAGATGTTCATCCCTGTCAAAAGCAGGAGAATCTAGTTTCTCATGTTGTATTTCCTGTTCTATATCTTCAGCAGCGGGAATAGTGCTCAGTTCCAAATCAAGGCGCTTCTCTATTTCATTTTCATGTATTCGATATTTTGCTGCCAAAGTACGGATGCATGACATTCTGACCTGATTATCGATAAGAGCCTTTATCTCATCAAAATTACTACAGCCTTCATACCAAATCACCCATCGCCGAACAAGTCCTGAATACCAATCAATTATTTGCGCAGTATCTTGCAAAATAAGCATGGAATTTGAACGAGCATGACCCTTGGCTGTTATTAATCCGTAGCGATAAAGACGTCTTCCTATAGCATTAGTAGGAGCGACAACATCACCAAAGAAAACAGGTCTATCATGAGACCGTGGACATGGCAAAAGCGCTTCCACGTTAGCCGTCTCTGAAGAAACATATGCTGCAGCAGCGTTTTGGAACTTGTAAAACGCGTCTCTTAATTCTTGAGGAACAGTAGGTTCTACAACATGCTTGGACAAGACAAACTCCTCGCTTCGATCTGCAGAGGTTCTTAGCACATCCTCCATCCATATTCTAAGCAAGACCTTATACCAATGATCTGTTTCCATGCCTGCCTTTCTGTGGCAAGATATTTGACTCAAGGTAGAGTTACTATCAGCCAAGCCTTTGATTTCTGATTCTTTGACCTTCTTCAATCCATGTCCTAACCATTTCTTTCCAATTCTAACTGTACCTAAGGTCCAGGCTTCTTCTTTCTGCAATGCAAAGAGCCTAACCTTCTCCTTTAACTTGTGAACAGCTTTGACAGTGGGACTCTCCCTAACATTTTTCCTAACCAAGGTACCCAAAACACGAAGACCACTGGTTGCTTCACATGGTGACGGGTCTGTTTCATCTGTGATGTCCAAATGCAGTGAGTTCTGTAAGAAACCAATTGCTTCAGATCTGATATCAATTGCAGCTTTCTTGGGGCCAGACACAGATAAATATATCTCATCCATAAATCTGCAACAATAAACTCTGAGCGCAACGTCCTGGTCGGGAGTACTTTTCAAATCTTGTTCTCCGGCTTGCCTCCTAAACCAGGAACGAAGTTTTGAGCCTGGGCTATCATCATCAGTCTTTGAATCAAGACCAAGGGCTTCATGCCTCATTGAGATTCTATAAAATTCATGATCAAACCGATCAAGATATATGTTCATTAATACTCGGGACAACACCCCTTCTTGTGGAAGACCATGGCCCTTAGGAAATCCTCCAAACTCGAGATTGAGCACCCGGGCTTCAAACATAGAACGGAGTAAGATGCGTAAACTGCTATCTACTATTTTTTCCTCCATTACAGAGAGCAAGTTCTCGAAAACAGAAACATCAAGTTTTTTGTTCAGGCTCAAAGTGAAACACCAATCAGAACGAGAAATATTGTTGCTGATGTACTTCAATGCAGAGGCACGCCCCCTTCCGCTTCGGCAACTATGTGAAATCTTAGAAAAATGAGGACTGAAAACAACTTCCAGGACTATTCTAATAGCCTCTTGGACAACTTTAAGAGCTACACTAGGGAAGACAAGGACCTCTTTTGTTTTATCTCTAGCCACAATCGAAAACGTATTGGAAGCGACATCAAACATCCCACTAGAGAGCTCTTCTGCAATAGAATCAAACGCAACACTTCCATTGCTTTCCATTATAGAAACATTGGCGTTAAGCCGAATACAGTCATACGCATCCCGGAGAGTTTCAGGCCTTGCAATCACCTTCTTCAACAGGTCACTAAACTTCCCATCGATGCACTGCTCTTTAACTCTTTTCTTTAAACGGAGTTCAAGAGATCGTTTAAGCTCCATACGACCTCTGGGTTTGCTATCATCATCAACATGAGAAGAAGATTCCTCTACAAGAAAAGCTAATTCCCCAGCTAGTGAAAACATTCCAGTTTCCTCCTTAGTAGCCATTTCTGCATTATCTGTTGCAAGCAGAGACGATTTGGGAAATGTGGAAACTGTGCGAATCCATAAGCCTCGTGAAATTAGGGTTTCTACGTAACCTCGATCAACTCGGCGCAACAATTCCGAAACTATGTTCCGTTTCCTAAACATCAAGTAAAATTTCCGATTCCCAAATTCTAAAACTAAGCGATTATTATATCACTCTTCTTATGCCAGTTTTTCTACAATAGAATGGGAACAATCAGGTTTATTCAATCTTAATTCGACACAGAAATGGAAGAAAACTTACGTTTATGGTTGCGATTGGTCTGAGAGAGAAAATCGAAGAAGCTTGCACAGCGAAATTAATTACTCGAGATTGAGAAGAAGGAATGAAGGAGGGACTATTTGTGAAATAACATCAAATATTGTTTATTTCTAGAAATTACATTTAGACTCCTTCAATTGTAGAATGCTTCTCTTTTGAACATTTGTTTTGATAACAGACTTATATGCAACAACATTTTAAGAGACTTCGAAATATGTAACGACCATTTTAATAATGTTCATTAAATTATCCAAAACATGAGCAACTAGTCCATCGATTTTAGAGTGATTCACACACCTTGACCTTGTTGTTCGACTAAGATTTACGATGGTCAATATTATGAAAAAAACTTCTTTAAACAAAACATCACAAGATATATACACTGTACGCATGTGTGTTTCTTTGTATTGGACTCTAGTTTGGTATATATCTCATATAAAGACTTTCAAATTATTTAAATTTAGTGGCATCTCGTTGATAATATATGAGTTTGCCTTGCAACGAACTTCGAAATATTTGGCTTATATGTTTGATCTTTATTTTCGTTATTTCATTTTGCTAAAGTGTATATAGACATCTAAATTCACTCTTCATACCATGTTTTTCGATGAAAAAAAAAAAAAAAAAAAAAAAACTCATTTAGCTTGATCTCTCCATCCACTAAGTTTAGTTTCAATAAAATATTAAACAAATGATATGTATTAGATTTGTCTAATTTAGAAAAAAATGTATTATGGGTGAAACCGGGATTAAAAATGACTAAAGAATGGAGAACTAAAAAATAGACAAAACTATCACTAAATGATGAATTCGTTAATTCAGTTTGATAATTAAGTACTATAGAAACACGAGTGATCAGCTTTTCTACCCGTTGGACCATTATCATCTAGTTGTTCCATTGTTTATCAGTTTCCTATCGATTGACAATTTCTGATATGTATTTATAAATGCTTTGCTTCATGCTTGAAAACAAAAAACAAAAACAGATGCTTCATGCTTAGTTTATATTCTTCCCCCAAGAATACAATAATATCTAATATTGAGCAAGGTTTCAAGGTTCCCCCAAAACCTTTAGTTGTTTAAAAGGGTTCGAGGTTCAAGAACTCGGGTTTGGTCCGATCATGTTATGATTTGACAAGATTGGTCATGTTCTAAAGAGTCGGACTAGATCGAGTGGATATTTTACTACCTACAATACTTTCTCTAATTGGATCCAATGCTATTTGTTGTCGTGTGCAAGTTATTTATTATATTAGGTGAAAATGTTGAATTTGACCAATGGAAACAACAAACAGCAAATGGGTACGCAGAGAAAAACCTGAACGCAGAAACGACGTGGCTTTCAAGTGGCATGGACTTTAAATTTTCATAGCAAATTTTTCTTTTCTTTGGTCGCCTTAGTTGTTTTGGCATGAACAATGTTGGCTCAATACCATTCACACGTCCTTAGTGTTGTTGAATGGACCATTTTTTTATCCGGAGATTTTCTTTATTTTTTCTTTTCAATTGTTGGATATTCAAAACTTTAAAATTGGTACCACTCTGATTTTTTCTAGAATTTAGATCATATGCGTTCTAGTGTCAGAATACACAACACGGATATTTGGAATAGCAATAAAAGAATTTGAAACATATGTGGCAGAAGAAAATGATACAATATCGTAGTATGATTAGTTGAAGCTGCAGTTGTATAAAGTAGTAAAACTTAAGTTTACAGAAATATGATTGTAGTTAATAACACTAAACATACAAGTATACTATCTTAAAGAAAATGTAAATGTAAATCCACTTGACTCCGCTTTCTCCACCGGAGTTCGACTCCAGTAAGTCGCGTTACCCCGCGTAGTAGGGATTGGATATGGATCGGGCCTTATCGATCAAAAGATGTCAAAAAAAAAAAAAAAAAAAAAAAAGAAAATGTAAATACTATAAAACCTGGTACAACTTTTTTTTTTTGCACCAAACACTATTTATATTAAGTTCTCGTAAAGAAACTTTCTTTTAGGGAGAGTCATTTATGAACCGATTTGCTTACATTCAGAAATCTGGTACAACTTTGAATCTTTAAAATACTAATTTTGCAGGTTCTTTTCGAATGACACATAATATCATTTTAGTACTTAATTATAATTCTTTTTTATATTGTTCTCTTTATGGAAGAGAATAGTAGCCTCTGAATTTTCCAATTAAAAAAAAAATTCTATGGTCTATCACGAAGTGTTATACTATTCAATTCAATTGATTGAATACTTAGACTAATCAAGGTAAAATAAGACACGCATTTGACTTATCACGAAGAAAAAAAAAAGTTTAAGAGAGAAATATTTATAGCTAGCGGGAAAATAAATAACAAACAAAAGAAACGAATAATGTGAGATTTGATGATTAACAATGATTTAAAAAAAACATTGGTCAAAGCACT